TTCAAACCGAGCATCAGTATGGGGAAGAAAGTTGATTTGAGTGACTTTGAACGTGGCATGATTGTTGGTGCCAGAAGGGCTGGTCTGAGTATTTCAGAAACTGCTAATCTACTGGGATTTTCACGCACAACCATCTCTAGGGTTTACAGAGAATGGTCCGAAAAAGAAAAAACATCCAGTAAGCGGCAGTTCTGTGGGCGGAAATGCCTTGTTGATGCCAGAGGTCAGAGGAGAATGGCCAGACTGGTTCAAGCTGATAGAAGGGCAACAGTGACTGAAATAACCACTCGTTACAACCGAGGTATGCAGCAAAGCATTTGTGAAGCCACAACACGCACAACCTTGAGGCGGATGGGCTACAACAGCAGAAGACTCCACCGGGTACCACTCATCTCCACTACAAATAGGAAAAAGAGGCTACAATTTGCAAGAGCTCACCAAAATTGAACAGTTGAAGACTGGAAAAATGTTGCCTGGTCTGATGAGTCTTGATTTCTGTTGAGACATTCAGATGTTAGAGTCAGAATTTGGCGTAAACAGAATGAGAACATGGAACCATCATGCCTTGTTACCACTGTGCAGGCTGGTGGTGGTGGTGTAATGGTGTGGGGGATGTTTTCCTGGCACACTTTAGGCCCCTTAGTGCCAATTAGGCATCGTTTAAATGCCACGGCCTACCTGAGCATTGTTTCTGACCATGTCCATCCCTTTATGGCCACCATGTACCCATCCTCTGATGGCTACTTCCACCATGTCACAAAGCTCTAATCATTTCAAATTGGTTTCTTGAACATGACAATGAGTTCACTGTACTAAAATGGCCTCCACAGTCACCAGATCTCAACCCAATAGAGCATATTTGGGATGTGGTGGAACGGGAGATTCGCATCATGGATGTGCAGCCGACAAATCTGCGGCAACTGTGTGATGCCATCATGTCAATATGGACCAAACTCCCTGAGGAATGCTTCCAGCACCTTGTTAAATCTATGCCACGAAGAATTGAGGCAGTTCTGAAGGCAAAAGGGGGTCCAACCCGTTACTAGCATGGGGTACCTAATAAAGTGGCCGGTGAGTGTATATATTCCATGTAAAAATTGAAAATGGCATTTTTCATAAGAAATATAACGTTTTATAACTCTTTTTTCCCCTTTATTTCAAATTCACTTTTTTAAGCTTTTTCCACTTCAGCAATAATCTGTCGACTTTAAAAAGGGACCAAACTGAAGTCTGTGCTCCAAAGCATTCAAGATGTATGACCCGGATTAAGTTGAAAATTCATTTTCAGGTCTATGATCGAAAAGTGAATAAATGGATTATTACTACTGCATAAATATAATTTAGAACCATAAAATCTCCTAAAACATGAAATAAAAAACCTCAAACTAAAATATAGTACAATCATTTCATTGAAATAAAGAAATTGTTCATTTTGATGGACACAATAACATTACCAGAGGGTTAAACACATCTTACATTTATTCAATAAGATTCAAAAGTAAACTTTTTAATAAAGGCGAGTCTCTGCTACATTGGGAATGTAGTTACGGTTGAGAAGATGCAGGGATATTGAAGTGACTATTCATATTGTAGCATGGTTTCTCACTTGCTTATTTCTTATTCTCTCTCTTTTTGCTCATAAGGGTTTAGCTTCTTGTAAAACTCCTGCGTGTTTGAACATGAACGCACATCTGTTTAACTGGTTTCATACATGTGTTGCCTGTGGCATTGTTTTTTATCATGAGATGTTGGAACAACGCCTAGTTCACAGGAATCGACCTCTTTCGGGAGAACAACTTGTCTGTTATGTGACTGACAGACAGGGTGGAGAAACTTGACATGTCACCAACAAACATCCACCAATGCAAACGAGTATTAGAAAGTTATTTGTGTGTTTCCGCTAACTTAACGTTACATTCACTCTGCCGTGGTGGGCCGCCACCCTTCTTTTAAGGTGATGATACACAGGGCAACTTTTTGAGCAATGTTGCTGGGCAATCTTGCTGAGCGATTGTTGCTTGGGCACTTTCCCATTGAAAATGGGCAATACATTTCTATCTGGATACTTTAGGTCGGTTGTGGGGCCTGTGTCTCATCTGGTTGCCTGTTGACGGCAACATTGCCCAGCAACATTGCTCAAAAAGTTGCACTGTGTATCATCACCTTTACTGTCTATGGCTGATGGCCGCCACACCTAAAATCATGATCCCGCTACGACTGCAGCTTCTCAGTGAGGCCCGATATTGTGCATAGCCTACTATTGTGTTATTTGTTAAGCCCCACTAAAGGCATAAATGATTTCCATTACACGAGAGTAGATGTTAAAACTTCATGCTGATTTGTACTCTGCTTTCGCCAAGATAAGCAACACTGAGACGTAGATTTACAGTAAACTATGCTTCTGCATCCATTTACGCTTCTTTCCATATGGTGGTGTGACTCCCCTTCTGTCCGGCGTTAACGGCTGCAGTGTACTTGGCGCGTCAGCACACGCGACGGCTGCAACTACAGTGTGGTCTCCCTAGTGGACCAGCACGACAACCGTCTGGATTGAGCCGAGTAGGGGACATCTCTAGGGTCTTCAAGTGGGAGCCTTCCGTCCTCAGTGTTTCGTCGACTAGCCCACGACACCTCAAGAGGGCTCGACAGTGACTCTGGCGTCCCAGAGTCACCCCCCTCCGTCCCCCACTCAACTCAGCCCAGCTTACTGACCTCTACATCCCTCCTGCTGCTGAGACCTAACCACAATCTCACAATCTCTCTGCAACCCGACCATACGCGCCAACCCGTTTGACTAAGGCTGTCGAGCCCCACTGGTGCGTTAATATGCAGTTTCAGTGGCAACGGTTCCGTATGGCATACCATCTACCGCAAAACACAATATCTGCCCAACCACCCGTCATACACGCAATATACACAGGAACGTAATGACTGTAAATACTATACAACGTATACAAATAAACCAACAGACTCTTCAAGTTTTTCAATAATTCTACGAAACCGTAGCGTGGCGGCCTGTACACAGCCAGCTAGAATCTTTCCGTCTCAACCACAGCCAGTTGCTGCTCCTTTCTGCTGGGTTTCAGTTGAACAATGCGTGCTGATCCAGACCACAAAACAATATCTGGTCGTAGGTTAGTGGTGGCAATCTCAGGTGGAACAATAAGCCGTTGATCAAGATCAGCCAGCATCTTCCAGTCCCTAGCAACTTCCAGTTGTCCTGGGCGAGAATTGGTGTTAACACCTTTTCTTGGTGGTTGCTCGCCTGGGCGGAGGAATATTGTCTTCTGCGTGTAATGTTTTGCTAGAACAGGCGGCAACTTATTGGTCATACTACGCTTGCCTTCCAATGCTAAAGCCAAACATCGCAGTACTTGGTCATGGCGCCAAGTAAACCGACCTTGGCTAAGAGCCACCTTACATCCTGTCAAAATGTGCCTTAATGTGGCAGGTGATGAACACAAAGGACAAGAGGGATCCTCTCCTACCCAGAGGTTTAGGTTCTGCGGTGATGGGAGAACATCATATGTTGACCTAATAAGGAAACTGATCCTACTCTCTTCCATTGACCAAAGGTCTTGCCAGCCCATCTTGCGTTGTTCCACACTCTCCCATCTCATTCACTCTCCCTGCTTGGCCTGGGAAATGGCCTTTATACACCTCATCCTCTCCTCCTGCTTTCGCATCTCGTTGACTACTAGCTTCCTCCTTTGAGCTGGGCCTGCCTTGTGCCATTTAGGAGGAGCTAAACTGAGCCTAAAACCCCCTCTTCCATGCTGTACCTGTCCCACGATATCCCCAATTTGAAGGTCAGCCTTTGCCTCTACAGCTTTCTTTGATGACCACTTTCTACCAGTTTTTAACACAGGGGCTGCCTTCCTTACACATTTATCGCGTGACTCTACTAAGGTCATTTCCAGTCTGACCTTGGCACACTTGAACTCCTCGGTTAAAGCAGAGACTGGCAGCTGCAATATTCCTTTACTATAAAGTCCCACTCTGCTGAGGCAGTGTGGAATTCCAACCATTTCCTGATGTATGAACTTATTAAAGCTTCCAGCTTATCCACTGTTGTCAAAGAAACGTCGTACACGGTCAGTGGCCACAGCAACCTCGGCAGTAGACCAAACTGAAAGCACCAGAGTTTTAGTTTGCCTGGTAGAGCACAGCTGTTTATGCTCTTCAACCCTTCCACTGCTTGTCGTCTAACTTCTCCCACTCGAACTGTGTCCTTTAGATCCCCATAGTACCATCTCCCAAGACTCTTCACTTGTAAAGCACAATAAAGTTTTCGCACTATATTCCAAGACTTCTAAAGTCATTCAATAGCATAATGTATAATATTAATATTTAAGTCGTTAAGTTAAAGTTAATGGAAACTCATCTCTCCTCAGTCATTCTCCATTCAGCATTCAACAGTTTAATTGAGAGTTTTCTTTTAACAGTTTTAAATTTGAGCTCTCTAATTCAATTATTAGGCCTACTAGTAAGAATTACAATTACAGAGCTCTCTAATTCAATTCTTAGTAACAATTCCAATTAGAGAGCTCTACAAATATGTCTCCATTGACTTCCATTCATTTTTAATTACGGAACTCTACAATTAAATTCTTACTAGTAAGAATAACAATTAGAGAGCTCTCTATTTCAATTATTACAATTAGAGAGCTCTCTAATTCAGTTGAAACCCAAATTCTAACCCTATAGTAGGCTAAGTACATGTTGTTAATTATTGTTAATCAGTAGGAAATGTAAAATTACACTGTAACAAGAACACCTTAAAATGTTAAATAAAGTGTAACCTTTTTTTGCAATATCATTTTGATATTCAGCCACATCTCATAGACTCAGTGTTAATCTTGTTGGGATGAATAAGAGATTCACATGTTCACTCTTGCCCTTTTTAGCTCCAGTTTTTTAATTAAAATGTTTCACAATCAGTGCAGTGTGTGTCCCACCACAGGACACGTGATGCATCTGCATCAGTGTGTATGTTTTTTCAGCCTCAGATTTCTTTGTTTCTGGTGAATGCAGCATCATTGTAGCTGTTCACAGTGGATGCATTCTTGCGAAGGTTAGTCAGAATCATCGTACATTATTTATTCCTTAGTATCTGAGTTGCATGAAACTCAAACTTTTACTAAAATGTATGCAAGTAAGCCTATAATTTAACAGGGCAGGTCTGAATTGTTTGACAAGTACATCATTACTTCAGACCAGAAAGACTGGTTTGTATTCGAGGTGAAAGTCTTTTTAAAAAACCAACTAATGCAGACAGAATGTGCAGAATTTTTGCATTCTAATTCTAAACAAATAAAATGAATTCCAAGTAAGCAAAGGCACTGAAGTGATTCAGAGGAATGTTTCTGTTTATTGGTGACAGATGGGTGCTAGTTGGACACACATCTGGAGGGAGGAGTTCAAATTTCACAAACTCCACCTTCTCACTTCTAAACCAGAGCTTTTGCTTCAGCCACGGGTGAGTTTGAGCACTGACTATACAAAGGTTTTGCAACATGGTAGATGGTTAGCTGCTGGTCCAAGGAGATCTACCAGCCTTCTAGACCAGCTTGGATCAGCTAATGAACATAAATAACTAGCCTGGAGTTAGAAACCATGTTAGATCTATCAGCAATACGATGATGCTGAAGACATTGAATGCATATGTGTATTAAACGTCAATGTCAAGAATCCATTATAATGAGGAGTGAAATTTGAGGCTGAAATAACTTGTCTCTTGTTGCCAGTGGGATATTCCTCCATTGATGTGGCTTCTGTACAGAGGTTTTATGCTGGTCTACACCGTCAGCTGGTTGATCTACATGGCTCTTCTCTTCAACACACCTAAATTCCTCATTTATTTCAGCCATATCTCATACTGTCTCATGGTGATCTACTATCTGGTTGCTTTCTGTAATCTGGCCTGGGCTTTCTTGAAGGTCAGATGCTCCTCTCACAGAATGAAAAGAGGTAATGTTGTTGCACAATGCACCACTGATCACTGATACCCAATTGATCTGAGAAACGCACAATGACCCCATGAAGCATCTGAACACACTATCTGAATGTCACTATATTAATAGGGCTCAACTTAAATTACATGTGAGCTGTAAAAGCTGTTACATAGGCGAACTCAACCACCCTGGGTTGGATCCAAGTGCAGAAGGTTTTGTAAGACTGGAAAAACTGGAAGAACTGGAAGAGAGAGCAACTCTCTGAGAAAACGAAAGAAAATTAACATTTGAACTCTCTCTTGTGAAGTTAGCATCACCATTTGAAACGCAAGTCTCACCTCAGAATCGTCCTACATCTCTTTCCCTCTTCCCCCATTCCTTCTCTCTCATGCTGAGATCACAAAAATTCTGGTTTAATGTGAATAATTATCATACAGTATTATACATGTTTGGTATAGTTTGAAATGTCTCAGTGCGACTGGTACAAAGGTCTCATTCTCCACAGAAGTAAACCAAAAGGTAATAAAGTTTTTAAGAGTTTAGAGATAATTGTGCACAGAGGAGGGTGTGTCTTCCAGGAAAATGGCATCCTACTCCCAAAAGGTGTAAACTCAGAATGCAAATTCCCATTGTTAGCAAATGTTTTCATGTGAAATAGTTTCTGTCTATATAAAGAAAAGCAACAAGAGGCTCAGGGCGATTTGTAATGAGATTGGCCCATAATGTTGAGTCAGGTACATCTTTTACTCTTTATCTCTGAGTATGAAATTGGCATGATAAATTTACCTGACATAATAAATTGTTACATTTGATTTTATTCTGAATTACTCTTAAATTATTTTCTCAAGTATTAAGTGAAGTCTTATGTTTCCGCTAATCTGCGTCCAGGGTTAAGTACATACTACTGTAGATCCCAGTTTACATGGAGCGTGACTCAGGCACATCTGGTGGGATTCTAGATTTCTGACTAACTGCTTGACTTTAACTAAGTTGTTATGCAGTCGATGTCTTATGGCGGAGTCTCTATCGTCATCACCGGCGGCCATCTTGTCACAGGCAAGCTTTCTGGCGGGCTCTGTGGTACCTGATGTAAGATGAGTGATCAGCACGAACACAAATACTCTTATCTCGTTGAAATCTTGACGGATTTACAAACGGTTTGGTTTCTTAAAAACGTTATTAACGTGGCTATAATTCTGGATGATTATTTATTATAAACTTATTATTCATAAGCATGCAGTGTCATAACTACACCTCTGACGTTTATAACAAACCAAAACGTTTGAAAATCGGAAGAAAATTGAGCAAGTTATGGTTATTTAAAAAGTACACGCACCATTAAAACACAATGAGCGAGCTGCCTGTGACAAGATGGCCGCCAGGTGTGGACGTCGACTTCCATTGGCCAGCAGCGCGGACAGACATCTAGCCTTTATTATGGATATCTATGGTTATATGGGCGACTGTAGGGGGCTACTGTGGGTAGGCCTACTTTTTTTTAACAATAGAAAGCGTGTGCGGCATTGTTGAACTGCTTTAGCCATAACCTCTGCTTTTCGATTAGACTGGCGAGTTTGTGATCGTGAGATCCGCGTAAACGGCAGCGCGAGACTCTAAAACACCGGGCTTTATACACACACACACACACACACACACACACACACACACACACACACACACACACACACACACACACACACACACACACACACACACACACACACAGGGAAACTGTAACAAAGGTAAACAACAAGAAACACCAGCTAATCAAGGGAACCGATGACAATAAGGGACTACAAACGGTCACAGGAAACAGGAAATACAGCATGAAAGTGACATCTAACAAAAGCATCTAGAATGTAGCTATTAAAAACTACAAAACTGTTATTAATGTTTTGCAATGCATTTTCCAGCAAAGTTGTGTTTATGACTTCAGGGAGTTACATTAGCTGTATAAGTTTCAGCTTGCTGCAATTAAATATTTCTCAAAAAAAATAAAAAAAATAAAGATAACTTAACTTTTAATTAAATATATAAATATTATTTCTTGCAAATATAAAAATGCATTGTAAAAAAGCAGATCATTTTTTTTTGGTGGAACCAGCGAAAGAGCAAGAAAAAAAAAAAGAACTGTAGGCTACTACTTTATTAAACAATAAAATGTATTGTTGAGTCCTGATTAGATCACAATATTAAGCATTAACCCCCGTTTTCACAGACAAGTCTTAAATCTAGTCCCAGACAAAAATCCATGTTAGAGCTGTTTTAATCGAAAGCAACTTGCACTGATATATCTTAAAATATGTCAGTGACATTTTTTGTCTCAAGATGCACACCAGTATAAAACTATAAAAGCTACTTAGATGTCATAATTAAACTAAGGCCTAATCCTGACTTAATCTAAGCCCTGTCTGTGAAACCAGAGCTAAATGTCATCTGCGTTCAAATGCTGCATGCTTTAATGGAGTCCTTTCCTCCAGTAGGGGACAGTAGGGAGTGTGAGACCCTCCTCTCTCCTCCGGTCGCTTCTCTCTGTCTGCAGTGGTTCCTGCATTCTATGATGGGCTGCTCTTCATTAACCGTCACCATTGTCTACTGGACCCTAATCCACACCTCGGACCAGAGCTCCCTCACAGCCCTCAGCATCAACATCCATGCCATCAACAGCATCCAGACCACCGTGGATCTGCTGTTGTCCTCTACACCCGTTCATCTCACCCACCTCTTCTACGCTGTGCTGGAAGGAGTCCTTTATATCATATTTGTTGTTGTTTATTGGCTAATGGGCTGCACCAACCTGTATGGTAAACCCTACATTTACAGCATTCTTGATTTCAGTGAGCGCCCCCTAGTGGCGACACTTTGCATTCTGGGAGTTTCTCTGCTTTGTTTACCATCCTGCCACTTTGTGCTGTGGAACATGCAGTTGCTGAGGGAGTGGGTGGTGAGCAGGGAGAAAGTCAGGAGAATGGCTCTGAAGAGAGATGTTTGGTGGTGGGTGAAGGTGTCAGGAGCGACCTTTGACATCGTGCCTTCATTGGATCCAGCAGCCTCTGTGTTTGAGGCTAGAGCCATGATGGAGGACCAGCAGTCACAATCCATTACTCTTGTTTGAAGGAGTTTCTGGCCTGTCTGAATCTGAATTTAGCCAACATATCTTGATTTTCCTGTAATATCTCGCAAACGCTCTCAAAACTCAAACACTCAAAGCTCTTTAGTGGACTTGTTGATCCAAATGTGGTTGGTTGCTTGTTGAGATCTGAAATGCCCTCAAATACTTTGACATTTGCTTGAAGTGTTTACACTTTTCTTGGAAATCAACCCACACCGTTAAAAAAAAGGAGAAAAAAAGATATGTGAAATCTTATGGTAAATGGAATTTATTTCTGTGATGGCCAAACTGAATTTTCAGCAGTTATGTTGATATCAAGCACTAGATGTCAGCAGTGTCCTCTTAGAAATATAAGTCCAATATAAATTCAAAATGTAATTCTAGTTTTGAATGATTTTAACAAAGAAATTTGATGCAACATCAAAAAGAATGCTTAAGATTAATCAGTTTAGGTTGATTTTTTTTAGTTTAAATGTAACTAAAATGTTTTTTTATTAAAGTAAAAGTCCACATTTTGAGGACTTTTGAACCACATTATATATTTAAATGGACGTGAAAGACCACTTTTAGAGTTCAGAATTCAATTGGTCTTGGGTGAAGTCATAATTTGAGAATAAATTCTCATTACTGTAATATATTTTTTCTGTATCTGCTTAATTTCTGGTTTTTAATTATCATAGAAATTATATCATAATTCTCAACAAAACATTTAAATGATTCTAAAATGTGACACTGATGTGTTTATGACAAGTTTTATGACATGTATTTGAGATTAAGTTACTCTCTAGGTCAAAGCAAATGCATTTCTGATTGTATAGTTGAATGCATCAGTGTTGATCCCCTCGTCTGGTCTCGCGAGGAGAAGTGTGGTGGAGTGTGTGTGTGTGCTGTGTTGAGAGGGGTCGTGGCAGCGGCACACAACAGTCTTTAGCCTGAGTCACTCTAGCTGTTTTTGGTCTCTCATGTTTGGCATCATCGTGACCCTCAGTGAATCAAAGAGTTCAGTATCTGTCTGTGTGATTCAGAAAGTCAGAGATGACGCTACTGTTTCTTATGTGTGTGCATTTGTGTGTCTGCTTTTATGATTCATTATAGAATCACATTTGCTCAAATATTATAATGTACATTATAATGTAATTCATATTATATCCCTGGAATTGTCATTAGATGTTAAAACATCAACTTATGCATGCTCCTGAAATTCCAATAAAAGTTCATATACATTAGGAATGATTGATTTCTCTTGACATGCAAAAAGTTTTCTCCCTGATGTTCCCATTTATAGTTTAGACACGTTTCTCTTGTGTTCTGAGTCCGTCTCTTGGGTTCTGTAACAAACTGCTTGTCTTGACTTGTTGTTATGCAGCCTTTACAAATTCACACATACTTCCCCAGTGTTTTTGAATTGGATCATTGTAATCAGGACACACAGACACACACACAAAATCCTTTTTATCTCTAAACTGATAATTGATAACACACCAAGACTCCTATAAATGAATTCAAATAAGCACACGTAACATTCTTTTCAGATGACATGTATTTTCGGGACGTAGTGTTTATCACTCAGGGTTTGTTTTCCAGTGTGGATCCTTTGAAGAGAGTCCTTTTAAAGAGCATTGATCTGTGGACCAAGACCCACAAGACCAAGGTCTGTGTACATGTGAGTTTGTTTTAGATGAGAGGTGAGGATGAGAGGTGAACTCTTTAGGAAAGCATCTAACACCGGTTTTGTTCGGTTCTACTTTCTTGTTGTTGTTTTCTATCAGTCTTGATTGATTTGAAATGTCACCGATGAATGATACAACTATAGGCTTAACCTCATAGTTCATATCCAGTGAAAGGAGCTCTACCATACTGAACACCAAAGAGAGATTCTCTTATAAAACAACATTGTTTCAGATCCAGCCTTTGGAGCTGATTAGACTTTGGAGAATCTTTTTTTATTGTTGTTGGGAAAATTGTGAGAAATTGAAGTCTCTCTAAAGTTCTTCCTATGTTCAGATTTGTTGGTTTGAAATAAGCTTTTTGTTGCAGTCACCGAGTGAAAGGTGTATTTACTCAAACTTTTTGAACTGACCTAGAAGCCCTCCAGATTTCCAAGAATCATATCGCTTAGTTTCCCTTTGACATTTATTTGTTTTTTTTAGTGGTCTGATATGGATAGTTACATGTTTCTATAAAATACTGTATCTACTTCCTGTAATGATAAAATACATGATGTAACAGTTGTGACACAAAACATCTGTTAGCTACTGTATATTTGACAGCACTGAACCTACAGACCAACTATTTACCTTAGTTTACATGTCAGTAGGCCTACTAGTTCTTCTAGCAGAAAGATATGATCTTAAAATTCTGGCCAGTTGATACATAGAATATCAAAATCAACTGCAGGCTGTAGATCCTTTTCCTATTTAGCATCCAAACTCTGGAACAGTATTCCTAGCCTTGTTCGGAAAGCAGACACACTCTGTCAGTTTAAATCTAGACTAAAAACGCATCCTAACCTGGCATACACATAACACATTATCACATTTCTATAATTCATATCTGTTAAAGGATTGTTAGGCTGCATGAATGAGGTCAACCGGAACCGGGAACACTTTCCATACCACCAGATGTACTTGAATGGCATCTACGCTAATATTGGTCCCTCTGTTTATCCCGAGGTTACCGTCGTCAGCCGACCAGACCAGCTTCGTCTCCATGGCGTGATGAATCTGATCTTCAAGTAAAAGGAACTGGATAAAATATTTAAATGCAACTGATCCATAATCGGATTTCTGACTTGTGATGCAGCCTGAATCATAATCACATGACCAGAGGAGAACCGGCTCCCCGACTAAGCCTGGTTTCTCCCAAAGGTTTTTTTTCTCCATCCTGTCAGTCACCTGATGGAGTTTGGGTTCATTGCCACTGTCGCCTCTGGCTTGCTTAATTGGGGACACTTAAAGGGTAAACCCTCATGTTGTTTCAACCCCGTAAGACTTTCGTTCATCTTCGGAACAAAATTAAGATATTTTTGATGAATTCTGAGAGCTGTCTCACTCCTTCATAGGCTCCTAGGTAATTGATATCGGCCCAGAAAAGTTAGTTAAGACATCGTTAAAATAGTCCAAGTGACTACAGTGGCTCAACCTTAAAGGGGTGGTTCAGAATTTTGGACATCGGGCCTCATTTCCAAGTTAGCCTTAGTGTTATTTATCAGTGGAGACAGTTTTAAAAAATGTTCATCCAGTCGTTCCAGTTGCATAGTTCGCCGGTGCTAGGCTAGCGCGAGTCAACGGTAACTGCTAGCCTGCCATTAAAAACAGTTTTACCCACTCCACAGTACACTAAAAGCAAATAAATTATAACGCCAGACTATCCATGTAAATGTCTGTTGAGAGAATAATGTTAGAAATCAAACTACTCTTTCATTGCATTGCAATAGTTATACTTTGTCTGTATTTATTAGCACAGTCTACAGCAGCGGCGGAGTGATATCTAGTTACCTTGGCAACTGAGAGAGAGGTAGAGAGAGGTAGTGCAGGTAGTTCCGACTGTAGTGCGCTTCGGTTCTGTGTTTACTTTTCGGCGCAGTACTACTAACCGGACCAACGTAAAATTCCGCCGCTGCTGAGAAACTAGTTCCTGTAAATGTCATGCGATCATTGAGATGCAAGAGTAGTTTGATTTTTAACATTATTCTCTCAACAGACATTTACATCGATAGTCTGGCGTCATAATTGATTTGCTTTTGGTCTACTGTGGAGTGGGTAAAACTATTTTTAATGGCAGACTAGCAGTTACCGTTGACTCGCGCTATAGCGCCGGCGAACTATGCAACTGGAACGGCTGGATGAAATTTTTTGAAAACTTTCTCCACTGATAAATAACACTAAGGCTAACTTGGAAATGAGGCCCGATGTCCAAAATTCTGACCCACCCCTTTAAGTTTGAGTAAGCGACGAGAATACTTTTTCTGCGCAAAAAACAAACAAACTAACGACTTTATTCAACCCTTCATGTTCTTCCGTGTGGGCCTCTGATGTGAGTTCACGAGAGCGCCGCGACGCATGCGCGAAAACTGAGAAGATGACGCTCACAATCATTTGATGGGAAAGTGTGAAAGGTAAGCCATTAATTTTGCGGCATTGGTAAGGCACTTTTACGTTTTGTCGTTGGTTTCTCACAATTCGGACATCCAGGAAATGCACACTTTAGAAGCATTTTAAATTTGAAACACTACATCGAGACCCGTCTGCATCATTTTCTCAGTTCTCACGCATGCGTCGTGGCGCTCTCGTGAACTCACATCAGAGGCCCACACAGAAGAAAATGAATAGTTGAATACGTTTTTTTTTTTGCGCACAAAAAGTATTCTCGTCGCTTGATAAACTTAAGGTTGAGCCACTGTAGTCACTCGGACTATTTTAACGATGTCTTTACTAACTTTTCTGGGCCTGCAGATGAAATTACCTAGAAGCCTATAAAGTAGTGAGACAGCTCTCAGATTTCATCAAAAATATCTTAATTTATGTTCCGAAGATGAACGAAAGTCTTACGGCGTTGGAACAACATGAGGGTGAGTCATTAATGACAGAATGTTCATTTTTGGGTGAACTAACCCTTTAATACTCAGCAATATTACTGATTTGACTGCACTGACACTATTGGATGAGAACTGAACTGGACGATGACGTCACTGTTTTCTACAGAACTGCTTTATACATAAAATGAAAAATGTAATAATTGATGATCGTTACAATGGAACTGAATCAACACTGAACTGACTTCAGCTGAACAACGACACTATTTTCTTTTAGAGCTGCTGCATGTTTGCATCATTGAATCATTTTCCTGTTATTACTGTAACTGCTTTGATACAATCTGTGTTGAATAAAGCGCTATAGAAATAAAGGTGACTTGACTTAATGCTAATAATGTTAATATATAAATGTATACAGTTTATGTATTATGTTTTTATATATATATTATATAAGCTTTCCAGTTTTCATTTCATGCACAAATGACCTATTAAGT